TGATAATAATAATGCTTTATTTGAGTCATGCTCCAGAACGACCACTAGGTCATAGTGTGCTGGCACATAAAATGGTAGTACTTGACCTAACACAACGTCTTCCGCTTGAAAAAAGAACAGACTAACATGCAATCAGGAATCAAAAAGATAAAAATTTAGCTCCCTTCTAAACACTGATATATCTGAAAAGATATCAACATGAGAGGACAGTTCATTACCACAAATCTGCATCCTTACCATCGGTGACAATTTCGATTGAATGGAGGAGTAAAATATACTAAATCCTCTAACAACACGTGCCGGTACGTGACATTTTAACGATGACACTAATTCACTATCTTCACGATGGTGTACAACCTTATGTAATAATAGAACGTCGCGAGCTATTCTTCTATTTAACAAGTTCTGCAACAATAAATCTTTAAGATTATATTCGTAGTCGTAGAAACATCTCCTTCCAAGGTACCTATCATAAACAATACGAATAAATCGTTTCTGCACTCTTTTAATTTGTGCCGCATCAGATGAATTCAGCGAGTTCCACACAACACTGCAAAACTCGAGTCTAACCCTAACCAAGGAGCAAAACAAGCGCACCACGCACCAATGATTTGAAAAGCCCCGCGTCAGGCGCGATATCATTGCCATCACTCTCAGAGCAGAGGCAACAATTTGGCTAACATGATGTGAAAAAGAAAGGTTGCTGTCAACATACACTCCAAGGTCACGGACTAAGGACACGTTGGATAGTAGGATTACGAAGTAGAAATGGATGAGAAACCATTTCTCGTTTTCTACACATGGTAAGTTGTTTTGTTTTATCAGGGTTGATAAGTAAAAAGTTATCAAGACACCAGTCTGAAACACGTGACAGATCAATCTGTAAAAGAGCGCAGTCATCCTCCGATTGTATTATCATGAAGATCTTAATATCATCAGCGAATAAAAGCATCTGCGCGTTCTTTACGCACATTTCAATATCGCTAATAAATACAAGAAACAGAAGCGGTCCTAAGTTTGACCACTGCAGAACACCTGAACTGGGCACAAGAACATCTGACGAACAACTCAAGACACGTACACGATTTTGACGTTCAGACAGATAGCTATTAAACCACTCTAGAAGCGTCGAAGATACACGATATAGTGAGAGCTTATACAATAGCAATTTATGATATACCTTGTCAAAGGCTTTAGATAAATCGAAATAAACAATATCAACTTGTCCTCGCGTAACAATTATCGGTACTGTGTAATCCAGTAGAGAACAAAGGTTCGTTTCCACAGATCGACCCTTTACAAATCCATGCTGAACAGAGGCTAATTTTTGACTAAAGTAAAAAGAAACATTGGCATGTATAATAATTTCGAAAACCTTTGAAAACGCACATAACAGACACAGGGCGATAGTTCTCTACCTTAGACGTGTCACCGGACTTGTGTATCGGCACTACAACTGAATTTTTCCACAAAGACCGGAAGACCCCAGTTCTCAATGAATGGTTAAAAACATGCTTTAATAAAGGGGCAAATAATTCAGCGCATCCCTTCACAATAAAACTAGGTATAGAGTCAGCCCCTAGAGACCGCTTAGGCTTTACCTTTTGTATTGCCTCCAGAATGTCTTGTGTGTCCACTTGATTGACAGTCAGAGTGTCGTTACATTCAACATTTCTCATAGAGGGCGCACTTATCAAAATGTCCGTAGAATAGCACTCACTAAAATAATTTCTAAAAGTGTTAGCTACTTTCCCAGGAGAAGTTACATAGACATTATTATGACGGAGAGAAATAACCCGTGTTGGCTCCTTTGTATGCTACCTGACAAATCTCCAAATTTTATCAGGTTCACGGAATAGGCTACTTTGTACATTATTTTCATAAGCACGTTTATCATATCTAAACAACTTTTTTACGAGCGCACGAAAAATGCTGAATTTTATGTACCAGAGCTCAAGCCCAGTTCTCTTAAACAATTTATGGAAGTGCTCTTTTTTGTGCATATAATGTACTCATTCTTTCGAGAACCACAACGGATACTAGAGGGTCTCGATAACCGCTTAGGAATAAACAAATTAATTGCATGTTTCGTTATATCTGCCAAAGATCGAGTCGCGGAATCAATACAATGATCATCAAGAACCGTCGACCAGTTGTAGTCTTTAAGATATGTGTACAACCCCAAATAATTACCACTGCCAAAACAGTAAATGGTGGACTTATGTCTATGAAATGTCCTTTTCACAATATACGACAAATGGCGGGTGAAACACATCAGGTCTCACAAGACGATCAACAACTGGAGTTATGCTGTCTATTGGGCAGTTAGAAAGACGAAGATCCAATACATTTGGATATTTGTCTTTCCTATGCTACGTCCAAGGGGACGTAGCATAGGGGGCTAATCGTAACGGTCAGTCAGCTAATTAATTAAAATTCGTTATTTAAGTTTTTAATTATTGAAAACAGACATATGGTTCCAATTAGAAACTTGCTGAGCGTCATTGAAAACCACTAAATCACTAATTTTCACAAAGACTTTCAGCGCATGAGAAGAGTAGTAGCGCACTAAAGTTACCACTCGTGGAGGTCCACGGCTAGCAGTTGCGGTAAGGCGCCCCCGCGATTTTCGAGTCTCTTATCTAGCCCCAGCCTTGCAGCTGCTCCAAGAGTCTCTAACTTTAGTATACAACTACGCTTCGCACACGCTCCAGGCACGTAGCCAGTGGGGAGGCCCATGGGGGCCGCCCCCCCCCCCCCCCCCCCCCCCCGCCCCGAAATCTTCCATTTCGCATGGGTCCTTCTCTCCCCCCCTCCCCCTCATACAGCATTTTGTCATAAGTGCCCCCCCCCTCCCCCACCCGAAACAAAATCCTGGCTACGTGCCTGACACGCTCATAGTAGTTCTGAAAATTACTGATTTAGTGGTTTTTCATGACGCTGAGCAAGTTTCTAATTGTAACTATATGTCTATCTTTAATAATTAAAAAGTAATTCACGAATTTTAGTTAATTAGCCGAAATATCGTTACAATTAGCCCCCTATACTACGTCCCGTTGGCCGTATAACTCACCTGCACGAACCGCATAGGTGTAACTTTTGCGTTTTTTTAACCAAATCTGTTAAGAAAAAAAAAAAAAAAAAACACACACACACACACACACACACACCTGCATATCTAAAACTGTATATGTTTTGTACAATTGGCTGTGTTATGGAGTGCGTGGCTTTCGCTATGTGAACGTATGGAAACTCGGTGGAGGTCGTGTGAGAGGATGGCATATAAAACAGGATGTGTGAATACAATCTATTAAGCTGCGTTTTAGACGTGTGTGTTCGTCCCTTGCCGTCTTGTAGTCCTTCGTCTCTGGTTAGAATCATGTGTAATATTTGTTATGTGTAGCTTAGAACCGGTGAAATAGAAAACCAGAGAACCAGCTAGAAAGCTAGCTAGAAAAGCTAGAAAACCAGTGAAATACAGGACAACAGGTAAAACGTAGGGAGCCTTCATGTGGGCTTTGCTAAGGTGATGCCACCTTTTGTAATACTGCTCGCCGACAAGCCAGCAGCCATTTTGGCTCTCGGCAATAATCCGTGGGGCTTATAGCCCTCCCGGAAACAAGCACCTTACCTCACAAGTTCGGAGCAGCGCTGTGGAACCCACGGAGGGAGGATTAGCATTTCCCCCCCTCGGATGGGAGGACCGAGGGACACAAAGGTCACTTTCCGGCGCACGGGGAAACAATGAGAGGAACAAAATGGCGGTGGAAGAGGGCGTCGGAAGTGGAAACAGGCAGTTGGCATCACTCTATGCGAAGCGCACATTAAGGTACCCTAGTAAAACGCATATTCCTCTCAAACAAATCTTAATGTAACAGAAGATATACTTAAGGCCATCAAAATGTGATATTTTATGCCATTAAACCTTCAAGAGATTCCAACAGCCTTTAGCATTTTAACAAGAATAAAAATTCTTCACATGTTTCCACAATTTTCTTAAACATAAAGTCCTTGGACATCATAATTGCGATTGATCAACGATAGCATAGATTGAGTGGTTGACCAATCTTAAATTATCGCTCACTAGAACTGCGATTACTGAAGGGTTTTGAAAGGAGACACTGACAAAAAAAAACACAGATATAAAAGTTAAGAAACCTGAACGGAAATGGGCGTTCATTCTCCAACGTTACACAAACATCCATGAGCAATAAAATAACAAAAACGTTGGTTTTGGTTTAGCACTATTTTTCATCGCTGGCCGTTTCTCCCGCCACTTCCGTGTAGTGCTACAATCCCTGGATCGCGTGTCGACGGGTGTGCTTAACGTCGTATACTGCCCACGCACCATAAGACATGTTGGCAATAAAGTAGTTTATATTATCTTGTGTATCGTGTTGGCGGTGGCTATCCAGGCGGTTGCTTGTAGACATTTCGGACAAAAGTATTCGGGAGCGCAGCATTCGCCTTCTTCGCCGTGTCGTAACTCGTGGCTTAAGGAGATTTTGGGTTTGAAGGGGTGAATATTGCCCTGCACCAAAACGAGCGTCAACCGTATCCACCTTCGCTGCTGTGCCATCACCATGACCGCGTCAGGCAACAGATCACGACACTTCTATGATGTCATCAGGCGGAATTCGATGGGCCACAAATCAGGACGGAGTAAGAACATCAGTTGAAGGCAAGTACCAGCCACAATTAAGGCCTGTTCACACATACAGCACAGCGTTAGAAGTTACCGCAAACGCCACCATTCTCACGTTTTCTTTTTGTTGTTGTTGTTGAGAAACGCGAAGGCTTTATTTGCCATGCACCGCATTAGTTGTACCGTAAATATACACCCCTCCAGCGCCATCGCGGCGCTGCGCCGCATGTGTGAACTGGCATTTGCCATAACCCACTAGGTCGAAAGGACACCGGAGACCACGGCGTCACTAAGGTGGCCGCTCTTTACGTTAAACAATTGGTTGCTCAAAAAAAGAACGAATGTGTAGACTCACGTGTACCGCGAAGCCGTGTTGTTCAACAATGGTACACCCAAACGTGTTGAAGTTGCTGCCGATAAAAGAGCACGCGTTACCGTGCTCGTCCACCGTGCTGAGGAACGTGGTGTGGGACTGTGGAGGGACCAAAAGATCTGCAGCCACAACCTCGTTCATTGCCCTGGAACACAAAATGTGGTGCAGAGCAAGCATTTGGAACAAGATTTGCCTCCGTATATTTTATCTCTATCTAGATTTCACAGGTGCTCGCACTATAGAATTACAAACAACCAACAGCTTGTATAGGCCAGTGTCTCCTCAGTTCAATAGGCGCCGAAATGTTTGGTCATATGCTAACGCCATGACACAGTAGAGAAGGGGGGGGGGGGGGCTGCGCTTTCTACGAGCCTCTTTGTTTAGAAACCTTCGCACATATCGTGCTGCAATAATATCAGAAATGCGCTATCACGAACCTCAGAAAAACACACAAAAAACCCACCGATACCAAGAATGCTGAAAAAACAAAAAAAGATCTTGTTTGATGCGCAGTCCCTCGCTTCACAAGAGCCCGAGTTTGAGATTATCATTTCACTTTTTTTTTTCCGTGGGCATTCGGATTTCGGACACTTGTCTATACCGTATTTGTCGGAGTGATAGCCGCACTTCTCATAAACAAGGCCCTTGCGTCCACTTTCCTCCAGAACAAATATACAACCAATTGTCGCGTTTTTCATTAAAAAAAAAAGGAAAGCAACAGTGAATGCCAGGGTCGAGAGCGCGATTTTCCGTAAAAATACGACCTGAGCTGATAGCTTTCTCTTCGTGAAGGTGTTATCTTCGTCCCGTATATCATTGCACATTTTTCTCCCAATAGTTGTGAATTTCCATCCCGTGCTCCGCGGAAAGGCAGGCCCGCAGGCTTCGTTCATAAAAAAGCGGCAGCGTTTACTCGAGCAAATATGGTACTCCTTTCCACTTTAAGTTCTATACCGTTGCCCACGCCGATGGGATGGTGTGAATAACGTAGTGCCATAATTGCACCGTCAGGGAGCTCGTCACCTTTGTGCGTTCGCTATCGCCGACTAACCAATCACGCACACAGCATAAACAGCAATCCTACGTTCTTTTTTTTTCTGTGCGTGGTTGCTTTAGTCGCAGATAGCTAGCCCACAAAAAGAGCAAGCGCCTTAACGACGCACCTTTCGCGTAGCTTGATCAGTTTTGAGAGATTGTAGGGTCAGCTGCGGCCGGATTTTATGTGAAAAGATAGAAGTGTAATGCTCGCACTGCTTTAAAAAGCACAGTGCGTGCCCAGTGCGCCCGGATTCTTTTGCCGTGATTTGTGCTCCGACGCTCTTATCCGTCACTGCCGGAACCTTACCGGCTTAAAAGCGTTAATAAGATGTTTTGGAATTCACAAACAATGCACTGTTATTGACTTTAAAATGACGGCAGATTTGTGCCATTTTTCAGCGCCGACTACACAAAATTCGACAGAGGCAGTTAACACTGCTTACTTGTAGGAATGCGAAAGTATTCCTGCACGGGAAAGCAGTCTTAACCTACGTTTAGGAATGCTCTGTGTGTAGCAATATTAAAACATTCCTACACGCAGCGTACCGAGTTGAGCATGTAGAACATAAATGTTTATTAAGTGAATTAATTAAGTTTGGTTTTGATGTACGATGTGCTCCTTCTCCCCATCCCCCCCCCCTTCCCTCCCCCCACCCCCCCAACCCCCTAACCAAAAATGAAATGGTTCAACGTTTTTAATCTTAAATATAAACTACGCATCGTCGAACGCTAAGACTCCGCCCAAATGTAGCTATAGCGGTTCAAATCCGATGCCGAATCGTAGTTCAAAAGTTACTAGCGTTTTTTAAAATGTTCTCTATGACAAAATGGCGTACAACAAAGCATGTAAGGTTGCGAGGGTAAACGCCCACTTATTTTTTGTTAAAGCGTCCCATTTCGTAGTAAGTAGTGGAGTGCCGGAGAGCGACACTGGGTTCCTGTGAGGGCGACGGGCGCCGCTAGCAGAGGCGTTTGGTGCATGGTGTACGGTGCTACCCGCTCTGTGAGGGCGGTTATTTAGGGGCCGCCAGGGCTCATAAGGAGCCCGGCGAGCATAGGAGTGGTTTACGGCCAGAGTGCGGGATGCGCCCTGTTTCGCGCGGACGTGTCAGACCGGGACTTTGTCCGTACGTTCCTGGAAGCGTTTTTCTGCCGCTTTGATTGTTGCACGCAGAGACGAGTAAGTCTGGATTCGAGAGCGCTGAAAGACAGACTTCTCGTTATTACCCTCCCAACCACGCTTTGGCAACAATTGCACCGATATCCTGTACTTCATTAGTTTGTACCCTTGCGTAATTGAAAGTTCTTATATTTTTTCAATTCAATCTACTTTGTCCTTCACGATGTCTGAGAGGCTTCGTGGTCTGACAGCGAGATCACAGAGAGCAGAACTGCTCGACATCCCGAGGTTCTTCAACGAGAAACACTCAGCGGCGACGTATTTATTCTCAAGAATATTGAAAGAACCTTTACTGGGCCCACGAACATATGGGGCTGAAGGGCGAAAACTATCCATAGTGGGCCCCATTTCTCCATTCAATTGCGCTGAAGATCCCTTATCACTTTTTGTTAACATAGTTCTCATTAATGAGACTGGAATCTGGACCGATAGCACTACGTTTAGCGGAGACTCAGCGTTCAGCAGTCCGTACTTTATATTTGAAATACACAAAACAAAAAAAAAAAAAAAACACTCTAGATTTTTTGTTTCACTTTTTAGAAGAGAGGGGGTTCGAAAAGGGGGGGGGGGGGGGCGGAGACAAGCTGTGTATTGTAGGATACAGTTAACTGGAATGAGCAGTGAACGTTAATTGTCCCGATTTAGCTCCCATAGTCGCAGCGTCCTCACAAAACTACTGCTGCATTTGAAAGTGCTCAGCAAAGGCGCGAACTTCGGCAGTAAAATTTCGAAGTTACCCTGCCCGATAAAATATAAGAGAGTGCTAATGCTGTGTTGCCCCTACCCTTGGCACGCAGCACACATAACTACGCCGGGAATGCAAAGGAAGTTGTTCAATAAAACGCTAGTTGAAAGGCAAGTTTGTCTCGGCAAGTGTGTTGGTAACTCCGTTACAAATTAGAAAAAGAAAAATCACAGAGGAACAAAAGGAAGCATCACATGGTTTCCCATGTGATGCTCAACTTCTTTTTTTTTTTTTACAACTGAACTAACTTTCGCTGAACGCTAATTCTACACCCAAAAGTTGCACGAGCGGTCCGAAACGGATGCCAAACTTTCACCGCTAACCTATATGTTACAAAAAATTATGTGATTTTCTTTTTTTTTATTGAGAAAGTACGGCGTCCGACCCAGCTTTCGAATACTTGGAGCTCGTTGGCGTCAGTTACCGAAAACCGGCAAAAATTGGCCTCACTTTTCAGAAATTTATTTATAACTGAGACTACGATTTGTTCTGAAGGCTTGGAAACTGCTTCCCAACGCTAGCTCTACACATGTTAAAAAATTAGTGTTCGGAGATACGTAGTTTATTTTTGTGGCGAACAAGAACACCGTAATGCTTAAGAACATCCTGTATGTTCTCACAACCGCCTTCGTTTATTACCCGCCTTTTGTCTCGCTAATTTTACACAAAACACTTTGTGGCGAACATCTTTCAATTTTCCCTTCTGTTGGCGCTGATTTTAATGCTCGATTCCCTGCGTGACCTATACGGAAGCCAGCTCGGGGGAGATCTGTGTGAGCGTTCGGACGGGTCACTTGTTCAAAGAGTGAGGACGGGAGTCTCAAGCCGAGCTGCAAAAGAGGTAACGTAGAAGATATACCACTGCGGCCTTGTGAAGGGATCGATCGAGAAAGTTAAGCCTGGTTCTTCGGCCAACGTAAATAACCTATTCATCACAGAAACCTGGAACTACGTGAGAACGTGTTGCTAGGGGTGGAGATAAAACGCAAAAGAGTGAGCCCATGAGGTCACCTGGAACAAATTATACCAAATCAAAACAACATTCGTGTATGAACCGACGTCCACCTAAGAGTAATATCCATCGAAACTAAATATAAGATTAAAAGCGGCTGTAGCGTTTAATGCAGTTAAAAAAGGTATGCAGTAAGAAAGTTGAAGTTGTTTTATTACTTGCTAACATTTTGTTTTCTGCAAAATAGATGATACCGATATCAAAAACCCCATATTAAGGTTTGATGAATAAGAGTCTAAGTAGTACGCGTAGACTCATAAATTAATTTGGCTTTTTTCTTGTATGGTTTGCTTCAGGTAACGTCACGCGCTCACACATTCTGATTTCATCACTATCGCAAGAGTCCCATTTTCAGGAAATTCCAGCTTTCCGCAACGCGTAGTTTATTTACGCGGATCAAAGAAAAAGGTTCGTTATTCTTGATCGATTTCTCTGGAAGATGATGCCCCGAGTCAGAATATCTCTGAAACCGTGTCCCTAGGGGATAATGACAGCAGGTACCGCGTCTTGTCTATGAGAGCACGACGGTCCTCAGCGTGCTTTTTGCAGGTCATCTGATCCACCGACGTCAGGCTGCTAGGATCTGGGCTGGACAGGCACCTTAGCCCGTCGGCGATAGCGAGCCTCAATGCTTCCATCAGCAGGTGGAAATATTCGCCAGAGGTTTTGTCATAGCCTGAAAATGTATGAAGAGTTCGAGTTTTAAATCGGCATGCGCTCATCTCTGTGCTTGACACTTTTTTAATGTTTAGGCACACAAAGAAATTGGGCAGACGAAAACGACAGGAGGGGTTTATTACTCCTTGGTTCATAAAGCCAGCAGGTGTGTGTGGGGAAACACTGCAGCCTAAGGTCTAAAAATCTTATGGAACCGTTTACCCACTCTAAACTGGTAAAAAGGGGAATCATCAACATTTGCTTTAAAAACGCCCTTAATAAATCATGCTTTCACTTAGTCAAGGATAGCTTTAAGAATCAAGTAGCGAGGCTCACGGCCGCGGGCTACCCGTTGCGGCTCTTAACGGCAGTCGCAGAAACTCTACTAAAGAGAAGACGGATTGAGAATGCTGAACATGTAACAGGAAAAACAGGAACATCACAGTACTACCGTACCTACACAAAATATCCCATGATCTGAAAAAAGTGGGACGCCGAGCTGGTGTTCACGTGGTCTTTTCGGCTCCAGACAAGCTATCTATGATGTGCAAAAGAGTGAACTCTCATGTAATAGAGAGACAGGTGTGCGCCAAGAAACACCAAAGCCAGTTTGTTACATGCGTTGCGGGTGTTGTCTACTCTATTCCCCTGTCCTGTGGCCGGAGATATATAGGGCAGACAGGACGTTGTCTTAATGAGCGTTTAAGAGAGCATCGGTATAATGTGTCTCAGGTTGTGTCGGGGCACCTTGGGGTGCATTGCCGCGATTGCGGATGTACTCCGTTTTTTGAACGATGCACGGTCATCAGTAAACAAAAAGATAAACTGACACGTGAGATTATAGAAGCCCGCGCCATTGGACAATGGGGCTCTGAGTGTGTTAGTGCCCCGTCACTTGCCTTGACGGAAAAGGAGTGTATTTTTCTACTCAGATCGGAGAGCAACGGCGCCTGCAGATGACTCTAGGAACACGTGTAGTCCTCCTCTTGTGTTTTTTTTCTTGGCTTTTGGGCCGGGCAAATTGTGTATTTATACAGGTTGTCAGTGCCAATAAAGCTCAGTTGTAAGTCAGCGCTGTGTGTGTCTACCGCCTTCTACTCTGTCCTTGTCCTTGCGCTGTTTGTTTTCCGCTAATATGAATGACCAACTAGCCCAATCGTCAACACTACTACCATTTGCCTTTGAATTGATGCTCTCTTTATAGATTTATTTTGTATTTTAATCAAAGAGTGATCAAGCAAGACCGACTTATATCCGACTGAATACAAGCATAACGTCCTGGTCTTCCGAGCCAATCGGACCTTTGAACTTTATTTCTACCTTCTACTCCATTCTTCATTTCCGTGACGTTCTTTTGCAAGTAAATGCAAATGTGAAATAATAAAAGAAACAAAAAAAAAAAAAAAACTTCCGATTTAAGCAAACGAAAATGCAAAAAAAATGCTTAATTTTAACGTGGAAAGAAATCAGGCTGTTTCTCGCATAGAGTTATTACAATAAACGCTAGATGCTCACCTGGCGCTCGCGTGCTGTTGCATTTTGAAGCAGACAGCAAGCAGTCAGAAATTAACTTCCGGTAATGCATTTCTATGGGAAAAAGCGAGTGCATTTCCTCTCTGCGCTCGAAAATATGAGCAAATATCACGAATAATTTGTACGTACTAGGCACATTGTAACAATTCTCAGTCACGCAGACGAAATAATTGGTCAGTTACAGCATTTTTATTTGAAATTCGCGGTATGAAAACGGTGTTAAGACCGCTTTGTACGTGTAGTTATGCGCCACTGTCGGACACTGTTAGCGCGAACACGGCGTCGACGCTTTCCAGCATTGGGAATATACGTGCTAAACGAACGTAGGACATGTGTAAAACCAAGAGAGACGGCAAGGACTACGCAATAACATTGGATAAGTAACTCCTTGTGCTTGCAGACGATCAAAATAAATATAACGTCACGTAATATAGTCCGATTTGCGATAAAAAAGGCCTGCTTTATTCTTTCTGCTCATGAATATGTGCGAAGATGCATGTTCGGTGTGGAAATCATCACCCGCACGCCCCAAATCTTTGCAGTTGGGGGAAGCCAGAGAACAGGTGCACGATAAAAACTAACAAAACATAGGAAATAATAAGAAAACACACCTTTCGTAGCTCACGTACTTTATTCTTTACGTTTCGAACGTTTTTTTAACCACTCCTAAAGATGCACGACGGGGTCATTTTCATAGTGTGAGAGGACAGGCATATTAGCAAGATATATAAGCACCCGCAGAATGCTGGCGAACTTTGAACACACTCTGCATTCCTTTAGATCGTTTTTTTTTTTTTTTGCTTAGAATTGTCGCGTGTTTTTGCATACCTGCCATGGAACAGAGGTTTGGGACTGAAATATAGCGAAGTTTAGCATCATTCGTTCGTAAAGGAAAAACGCTGTAACTAAAGCAATTACACTTTCACAATATTAATGAAGGTACATACTATCCGGCACAACCGAAATAACAAAAGTTATTTCAGTTATTTTCCGGCGACGAGACAGAATTCACGCGCGTTTCCCCGTAGGAATACACAGGAAGACTGGAAAAGTAGACGGCATGCCGTCTGCTTCAATTTGCAACCGGAAGTCCCGTAGACACTAGCGCAAGCTGAGCCCCTAGCGTTTATAGTACTAACTCTATGGTTTCTCCTCTACTTGGTGTGGTTTACTTTATACAAAGTTGTTAATGACAGGGTTAAAATCACATTTAGTGATAAAGTACATCTACTTTAGTGCTATCGTGGTTTAAATAAGATTTATCTGATTTAAATCAAAGTAATCTTAAAAAGATATCAATTTTATTTCAATCAAACAAATACAATATATTTAATTTTAATTCTAAAAATCTTGATTTTTTTCCACCCAGCTGCTTACGTCACCTCCTCCAGACCAGGACGGCGCGCCTGCTCTGAATGCGCGCAGAATCTTCGCGCTGAGGTCACCTGCCCCGCTGAAGCATGCTTCTCCAAGCACGACACCCTTTTCCTCGCCATATATGTTTTATGTACGTAAATGTACGTAACGCCTTACTAGTGATGAGTTACTTCTAGCTAATTAGGTTTTTCGTTAACGAGTAACGTATTGAGTTACTTTATTTTTATTTTTGAAAAAGAACAAGCAACTTATACTTAGTTACTTTTAAGGCCACGGAAGGAGTAATGTAATTTCGTTACTTTTGAGGAGTAACTTGTACAACAAGGTTTAAAGATTCTCGTTTTATTTCTAACCTGAGTATGCGTCTATTGCGAGAAAGGCAGATGGGCAGCCCCTTAAAACAACTAAATACTATGACAGTATAGCAGCGTTTATCGCTGAACACGTCAGTCGAACTCTACAGCTGGGAATGTACTTCATCCAGAGGAAAGAATAAAGTCCGTTGTTTTAACATTCTAGAATCGCGTACAGCCCGAATCTAAACCCGCAGTTTGCCGAGGCGGGAAGTCACAGAACCCATTGTCAACTTTCAGCTTGAGGAGCAAATAGAACAAAACAGAGATGGGAATCTCAGATTCACAAGTTCTTCCTGAAGCACAACACTGCCGTTCATTGGAGCGCGTCAGTAGAACGAGTGTTCAGCGTCAGCAAGGATGAATTATCACTTAAGCCGGGAAACATATGTGATAAAAAAAACTTGAGAGGCAGCTATTGCTCAAATGTAACAACTACTGAAACAAAAACAATACACAATAAAATACAGTCAGGCGGTTTTGCATCTAGTCGTCAACGTAACGAGAAAGGTAACTGGCTACTTTTGAGGTAAAGTAACGAGTTCCCTTTGAGAGTTCGGTAACGAGAAACGTATATAGTTACTTTTTAAGCGAGATACAACTAACAGTATTTAGTTACTTCTTTCTGTAGCATATACATGCCTGTTATTATCCACTATCGAGTATTATACGGACACTCTCTCCACTATTTAGTTTCAGATGGACAGGCATGTACAATCTAATGGTTCGGTGGTCCCTGTAAATGCAGTAGCATTTAAAGCAATATGTAAGGTACAGTGCTCGCCGAACTCATCCGGAAGTCGCGAACGGTGTCCTATTTCCTGTTTGCGATATTCTGGCGGGCACGGGGAACTAATCCATGACGTAACGCTCAATAGAAAGCCCTGGCAGGAGAGGCTGCTTGCTGGACTACGGGCACCGAAGGAATGTTTCCGTCCTGCCAACATATAGGGCTGTACGGCTGAAGTTTCGCAGCGCATGCATACGCAGCGCCACTCCTCCCCCTGGCGAGACCCGCCCATACATGTTAGCAATGCGAGGAGAAGATGAGCGGGAGGATGGTGCGCTTGTTGTGCTGGCCTTGTGCTTCGTAAAGTAATGAACTAAATGCAAAAGGGCAGGGCACCAGGCATTGTCGTGTACTTAAATGCCACGACATCGTATTAAACCAAAAAGGTACATACGTGTCTACCAAACATTTTAATCGGTTCCTGGGAGGTCATTCAAGAAAAAAATCACCAGAAGCCTGAATCGCCAGCTGTGCAGAGGACAGGGTTAAATATTGTTTCTCTCTCTTGTCGCACGATTCAGTAATGCAGCTACGCTTACTTACAACGTTAATATGAACATTTCTTAGACCAGTGTCTGCAGACTTACATTATTTTCAATTCAATACAATTCATCAATTTCGATTTTGTATGATGCATTCGCAGGGTTACCGCGACTTTGGGCTATGGACAACGATGAGTGCCAACAACGTCGCGCAGTGAGAAGGCAGCATTAAGTGCAAAAGAATTCGCCACTCTGCTGGACTTTATACACTTTCGAACTAGCTGATTTTACCACTCAACTTTCACGTCCCAGGTCTGTTAAATAATTGCGTTGTTAATAATATTCCCTATGAGAGCCTAACCATTTATTTAAAGGGGCTCTCTAACGATTTCCGAGGTTCTGCGGGTTTTTTTTCATGATCTCATTGGTAGGTCATGTTCATAGCCGCGAAGTATTAGCGCATCCTATTTAAATTCGATCGTGCAAAGGCAGCGCTGCGTCTGTTGGCGCACCAGTGTTCAAAATGCGCAGCTGAAGGCAAATTGGTTTCGTTTTACGGTCGACTTTGTGATTGGCCGCGTTGACAAGGAACCGTTATAATTTCATTTATGCAGTCTAAATAAAGTGTCACACCATAAAGTATCTCTATTCTTAAAAAAAGAAAGTTCGTATTTACCAACAAAGGCTAAAAAAAAAGGCTTCAAATGTGCCGAAAGAATATAAAAATTCAAGAAAACGAAACAAAGGCACTTGTTGAACGCCAGCATCTCGGCGGCGTTAGTATCGGAACCGGCGAACCGGTTTTGCGGCCCTCGCGCGAGCGCCCCATCAGCCCCTTTCAGGGATCGCCGTTCGGAATGTCGGGATAACGGAACCAGAGGGACGCTAGTTATCGTGATTTCAATATGCTGCTCCTGCCTTGTGTTCTAGGCTAGTTGTTCTCACCGGTACGTTTGGTGCCCACGTCAGTGCGCATGATTGAGTGAGCTTGTGCGTGTTATTAGAGTGTCCTCGAGAACCTTCGTATGCCTAACGAGCCGGACGCGCTTGCCCGGAATGCCGGCAAAAGCTTGAAGCTGGATGATGTGCCAAAGGAAGATTTAATGTGAATTCAAGACAACCTAATGTAAAAGCTATATATAATTACATGCTAATAGTGCGAGCCGGCAGTCGTTCCCGCTAAAGACAGAAATTTCCATGTGTCGATTTGTCCAAACAAAAGCCACCGGGCGGATTCGTGCCGATAAACATTGGCGGGCGCGGCATTGCGATCTTTTTCCGCCGAGATTTGTGTGGCACATGGGAGAACATAAGTGCCTATTTGAACTCGTTACACCCCTCATTTGCTTTTTTAATCATGCTTTTACGGTGAAGCTAACCTCTGACCCGAATTACTAATTCGATTACCTTGATCGTATAGGTACACCGATCAGCGGAATTGGAGAAACAATGTGAAGCAGAGTGCTCTAGACCGCTCTGAAATTAACTTTGGTTGTGCTCTTCTCAGCGCGACGGGGCCAGCAGGGCGCGGTTTTGGGCGGCGTCGGCACGATCACGGTCGGAGCCTGAATCTAGGACGATGCATGGTGCTATGGCAACAATGCATTAACCTAACTAAAGTTTGATTTTGTTTAATCACCGCCATTTATAAAAGACGAAATCGGCATCGGAATTGACCTTTTTCGAGTAACGATGACTGTATGAGGGGTTGTCTACGAGCAACAAACTACGAGAATGTCAACATGCCTCCGATTGTCAGAGCAGATTAACATAATGCGATTAGTCTCCATTGCTTCTGATGCCCTATAGCCACCGATACTCAAAAACAATTAAAAAAAAAGTCAAGGCACTTACACAACCTGTAAAATGAAACACTGACACAGCTGTGGCACGACGTCGGAGCCGCAAAGGTGTCAATTCAAAGCAGACGGACTGAATGAACGGTAAAGGTGCGAGCGCGCACCATGGAGTCCGCATAAACGTTTCGTATTAAACCGAGTAACACACCGGCCGAAAGTTTCAAAGCGTTTTGGAATTAATGAGGGTTCATTAAGTAGAGAACATTTCGTGAACCAGTTAAACAATTTTATTGGACAGAAACTAGGACTGCTTTTGTGATAATTGAAGAACACTTCGCGAATCCTGCGCCCAAGTTTTAAATCCAGGGAACAATGAAACTGCATGTGTATGCATTAACTGTTCCCTTACGTTAATGTGGCTATCGAACGTATTAAGCTTTATGATTGGACACAAACTAACACCACCTGGTGTTCACTGAAGAACACTTCCCAAAATCGCACTCCCAAGTTTCAAGTGATTGTAACTTATTTGACGCCCGTGGTGTTGCCGACTTAACACCCACCTAGATTTAGTGATTCCATCGCCCGAGAACCTTTTTTCATTTTTGGTGAAAATCGTTCTGTTTTTATTGTTTCCAGTAGCAGCAGTCTCATACTTATGTTTCTACGTGCCTTCATGGTATCACGTGACGGCGTACTGTCACTTGACGACGTATTGTGACGTGACGTCACTGCATCACGTGATTTCATGACATTACGTGGCTCAGGGTGTCGCCGGACGTCATTAAGTCCCGCGGCGTCACTGCGCAACGTGACTTCATCTAACAAAGCCACGTCGTGGTGTCAGCTGACGCCAGGTAACAGGTGACATGATGCTTGGTGTGACGTCAATGGGGAATCTTTTGGAGGAGTGCCGAAAATGCTCCGCGTCGATACGAAGCGCGGTCGTCGGCACAAAAACAGAGAAGTGTCCCACTGACTGCAGTAGGGGGAAAAACGAAATTTGCGCCAAGATAGGGGCTCACAACTTTGGGCGTGCGTGACGAAGTGGTTTGAAAATGGTGACAGCGGAAAGCGAGATATAAGGGAATGGTCTACGCATGCAGAGAAGAGTACTGAAACAAGGTTATTGGTTCGAATGAGAATTGTGGTAGCAAAGACAACTGCAATAAGGTACTCAAAATACGAAACTTGAAACTCAGTAAAACTAAGCATGTACACCATGGTTTAGTTGCTAAATCGCTCAAGATTGTCAGAAAAAAAAATAACTGCAATGAGCAGAGTTTTGCGTTCGGCGTGCCCATCTTCCCGATGTACCTTTTTACTTCCGAAGAGCTCCACCGTGTCGAACCATCCTTTGACCGCCCCGGGAACTGTGGCCGTGAGACCGCTCCTTCGGCCGGGGAGGTTTCTCTCGCCGAATCCCCTCGACCGGAGCAGCTCCATGGTCAGCCTCGCTGGACTCCTTCCACTGTGAAGCGAATTTGAACAAGTGTCACAATGAAGTTAGACAGGTAGACTACATATTCATAACAAACGAAACTCGAATACCATTATAAACAAAACAAAATTATAGAGTGTGCTACCGTATATGAATATCACTACTGATATGCTGGCTCAAGACGAATCATCGTCTTTGCTTCCTCTTACTCATATTCGAACTAATCAAGACCCTTCTACAATTTTATGTTCTTGTTTAGTTTGAAAACAATGACTTGACATGTTTAAAATTGTTACCAATAGCATCGCTTTTTAAACGAGCAGACAAAACATTTGCTTTGAGGCCATCATCCATTAATTGCCTTACTTCAGTGAATAGATGAGCAGAGTTTACATTTGAAACTTGAAAGCTAAAAAAAAAATCGTTGCTTGACGCCTTTCAGGTTGAAACAATTGTGAAAAAAAGCAAGCGAAAAAACAAAACAAAAGAAAGGAACTTAGAAAAGCAAGTTTACTTTTATTTGTTGAAGAATAAACTTCACGTGTGTGCTGTACTAGGTTAATTACAACTACAATTTTCATGAGACCATGCGTGTAAGTTCGAGCAAAAAAAAAGTGCTTTTGTCTGAAATTGCGTTAAACACTTTTTCGCACGTTCGTTTATTCGTCCGATTTCGGGATGAATTCTAGTACACATTTTTCAACTTTGAGTCCCGCATGACATGGTACAATTCTGCTTGCGATATGAGCCTAAATACCCCCGTGTACACCGCGCTGTTTCAGCTGCCGTTCACGGGATATTTCTAGATATATGAGCGACGGTTGCAAACGAAATATACAAAAATCTTACGCAGTACCGCTCCACATAAAATCGGCTTTCCCACTACATTTGAGTTTTCGATCATAAACGACAGACTTTGAGGAGCCACCTTAACCAATCCAGCGGTCAGTGCCTGTCACGTGACTCTTCTCACCCCAGATTGCTCCAGCCAACCCGAAGGTCACGTGTCATGCTTACAGCTGCGGGTTGGCTCCAATCTATTGTAGCCCCCGCCGTGTTTTACCGGAAGGTAAAACGGAGTGCAGACTACAGGCCATATTTTGAAACTCAAAAAAAGGTACACGCACAAAGAAAATAACGTAAGAACACTTGTACAACCTTCCGTCGATGCTTTGAACGGACTTGTCGGCTGCTTTATAGAATATGCAGAAGCAGTCACCGCCGATCCCTGAGGCGAAAGGCTGAAGAACCTGAAGCACGGCTGCTGCGGCCACGGCGGCGTCGGCGGCATTACCACCTTTCTGCAGCACCTCTGCAGGATGAAAAATAATGATCGTCCTGAGAAATGGCCCTTTTTTGTTTATTAAAGTTCCGGCTGTAAACGAATAAGCAATCTTGGGATACGCAGCGAGAGCGCATTTTAACGGTACAATCTTCAGGCTGCGGAATCGATCGCACAATTTCTCAATGTGCGCTTTAAGGAAAAAAATATATGCATATATATATTTTGAGCGCCACTTGGGTAGCACATGCAGTACGAGGTAGAGGGGAAGGAGGAACGGGACATTCGAAAATCTCTAATTATTTTTTTTAATGCCGGCAGGGCCAACTTCTTTTTTTTTACCATTCCTTTTTTCTCCCTCACTTCACCCATCACCCTCTCATGGTCCAAGCACTTCCTATGCCGCTGGAGCTGCTCATGACAATGTCAACAACTCATTCAGTGCAAGACACGATAGGCTAAAAGCTAAATAAAGAAAAGCGCATGAGTAAGAGAAATCTTAAAATTGTCATACCAATTGCAGCCGCAGAGGCTAGGGGTTGGTCAGTGCTCGCTCCGGCCTTTGAGCCGACCACTGGTGACCTTCGGGAGGAGTATTCCACCGAGTCATTCATTGGACACACTGGTCCCAGCGCTGAGGATTCCCATGCAAAAGCAAAGGAAATGTTTTCTTTCAACTCACGAAATGTTTGAACCAAAAAGCTCGAAGTCAAAATATATAGGTCACGTGACCTGATGTCGCGGTACATATTCACCATTTCAATTTGATGTCACGTGACATCAGGTCTCGTGACAAGAATTTACTCGCCATATGTAGCGGAGAAACAAAATTGGTGCATATAGGTCCCGTGACGTCAAGGGTCATTAATTTTCCCGAAATATTTTGTGGGAAGTTTGAATTGTTGTTTAGGCCACCTGACGGCCAATTTCGCTAATAAAATTAGCGTGGTGACTGAAATAGTATGTAGGTCACGTTGACTCGAGTCCCCTACCGTCCATTTCCCCGCTAAATTTAGCGGGACATGAACGGACGGACAGATGAACAAAGAAAGTTTTGATATCGGGATTTCACGCTTTAAAAATTATCCGAATTCGTTATGAAATTGGCCGGAAAAATCGGCACCTCCCCGTGGCGCTTTGAAAGTTTCGTCCAGCGTGCATTGAAATTATATATGTATATGGCCTTTATCAGGTTATAAAATAAATCTGCGACCCTGGTAAAAAAAAAAATAAATAAATATGGCTGCAGGTTTAATTATCTGGCCAACGCGTTTAAGCGTGGCATGGCAGCTTTAAAATGATACCAAAATTAAAATTTAAATGCGTCTTTCACTTTCAAATATTAGTTAAACGTGATAAACAAAATAAGCTAACAACAATTGCACGTTTGTAATTTGAACGAATGGCTATATGCTTCGTTCCAAACATCCGATTGCAGTGAGCACTCGAAGAGCAGTCATCGGAGAGCACGATGCGACTCGGAAGATGCCGCGCCTCTAGCGCATTCGTGACGTCACGTTTACCTTCATGGACAAAGCTACAGGGAAGCTGGTTTGGTTCTGAAATTCGCCACTTGGTGGCGTCAGCGCGTTAGACCCGCCCGTTCAGGATTTTTGCTCCCTACTTGCCGCAGGAGTTCAATAGTCGCGAGAGACAAGAGAAATCCGGTTCGGTCAAGTACGACAGGGCTTAAGAGGACAAAGCCTGCTGCTGTTTATCCGCGGAGCGGCGTTGCTTTTAGGGATAGTTTGACGTAGCACCATTAGGTTTATTTGTTAAACAAAATGTTTGGTGTCTTTCCGCCCACAAAATTAGTGACTTTATGGTGTGGTCACGAGATGGTTGACATTTAGCCAATAAAATAGGCTATACTTTCGGTGCAGTTCTCCTTAAAGGTCGGGTGGTCCTCTGAGTTCGGGCTCTGCCTAGGGCAGGACGACTCTTAGTCTCTCAGCGTTTGGGGTGGGTGGTGATCTTGGTTCAGGTGGTGTCTAAGACAAGATTTTGCATGGAAACAGATTACGTAACACCAGTGTCTCTTAGTGACGCTGAGCGCGCTTTTCTTCAACGCCTCCAGGATATAAAGCCTTTGCACTGAATTTTCAGGGCCACCAAGAGAGGGAAAGGGCGCTTTCCTGCCATTTTAACTCCTCGTTCCGAGCGCTCTATATACACTACCTATTCCTGCTCCTCTCCTTCTTGCACCTTCCCACCCATCTCCTCTCCGCGCTCTTTCCCACACCACCTGCATCCGGTTCCCCGCTCCTGAGTGCTCGGCCCGTATCTCGCTTAGAAGCGCGCACGGCTTCCTCGCTCTTTGCTGAGCCTCGCTCTTTGCCCAAGAGCGAGGCTCAGCGAGTGTCGGACGCCGCCGGAGGTGTTTCGGTGAGCGGAGTTGTGTGCTCTCGAACTTTGTCAGAGCCTGGGACCCCAGCTCCCGCAGGAGACGTGATAGACGTCGGTGAGCTCATGCGCTCCATGACGGCTATGTTCGGGACACTTTCGCAGGTGTTGGAAACGCCGGGGCCTACGTCTGTGCCCCCACCGCGGTTGAACGTCCTGACGTTGTTACATTCAGAATACTCTGATAGAAGATCGGTCCACGATTTTCTACAAGGCATAAATGCGTTCATAGCCACCGTCTCCCGCCGCCTGTCGAGAGCAAGTTGGAGCATGGTTGCGCGTAGACGGGACAGATCGCGGACTCCCAGATCAAATATCATAGCAGTCTTATAGGACGCTGCACGAGAAAGCATTTGAGGTATCGTGACTTGGTGTGAAGTGGGAAGCACGGAAAATCTTGTTGAGGCCGAGAAAGCAGATGGGTTTTGTCAGCGGGTGTTGGGAAAAAAGCGCGGAAATTGCTCCCAACACCAGAAAGGCTGGCGGTCAGATTAATCAGAACTTGGATTCGTATCTGCTGGATGAAGACGACTCTCTGCCGAAGTGATAGCGCATTCCTTAGCAAAAAGAGGCCGTACTTGAAACGGACTTGAAATACATTGAATATGAATATTCATTTCGTAATCATTCTCTATTATTTTGTCGCCATTCGAAATACGTGCGCAAGTTATTCAAAATATATTGTAAATATTAATCAGAAAAGATTTTAGATATACCAAAAATAAAATTCTTTCCCCCTCAAGATGCAATTTTTGCGCTAAAAACCAGCTACACATTTTTGTTAGCAAATGTGTACGTGCGGTTTTTGAAGGTAATATTAAATACATCCACAAATACACATTAGAAAGGAACACAAGCACCATGACACACTGAACACCTGAATCACAGTCCCTTCGACTGCTCTAGAGCCTTATCTAGCCTACATATTGAAGGTAATCATTTCGCCGGTGACCAACTCTGCACTTATTAAGGCTTCAAGTATTCGATCTTCTCCTCGGGAGTCTGCCAAAGGGGAAACAGGGTTTTGAAGTTCGTGGGCGATATCTCTTACTAAAAGCATTAATACAGCTAATAATAATGCGGCGCAGTGGCTAAAACAATATCCACAAAAACGGCTCCTAGAAACAAATTTATTGCTTCTCTGCATAACACCACCCAGGATGAAGCGAGTCAAGCTAGTTTCTTCACTTTAAAATAGTTATTTTGCTTTTCTTTACTAGTTGGCTATTTAATATGGTCAATAACGTCCCTATATTAAAGTCACTACTCACATTACGTACAAAGGTGAGTATACGCATTCAGTGAACTAACATTGTGCTAACACAATTCCACGCCAAAGATGTCTGCTCACAACACTTGCTGAAGCTTTCCAGCATCAGCAAGTGTTGTGGTTCTAGTTCCCGAACCCCGTTTGTGGTTGCTGTGCAAGATACTCATCAAGTGTGTTCTTGATGGAAAAAAACGAAACAATAACATAAAATGCGCTGACTTATCAGTGCGATGCTGCACAACTCAATTGACAAACTAATCAAATGCATTTAGGCACTTCAGTGTACTCCACATCTGCTTGAAGCGAACTTCTGATAGGCGAGCTTTTCAGTACTTTGGTTGCTTAATTCAAACTACCAAAATATTGCAGTCAAAGGATACTTAGAGTATAACACAACAGTATTCACGATTTCCAGGTATTTTAAGTGTATTTTGCACATATTTTCAATCGTTGCATTTTTATAAGGGTTGGAGTATATTTTGCATGATATAAATAAATATTTAAAAAATCTATGTGAAAGGTATCTTGCGCCTACTAATTTAGTATTTAGATATTTCAGAAAGCATAAAGGGAACTTCGAATATAGTTTAAATAAAGGTATTTAAAAAAAAATTCTGAAATATATCTTAGTACTAAGTAAAAAAAAGAAGTGTATATTTTTGGTCTATTTATTGTGTACTTACAGTTTTGAACTGTGCTTCAAATACACTCAAATTTGAATGTGGTATATTTCAAACGTCTTAGTTTTCTCAAAGTGATTGCCTATGTGCCTATTTAGCTTCTTTCACGCGTGCTAAAACCAGTGCTGTAGGTGTTACCGAAAAAAAGTAACGAATTACGTTGCTCGTTACTCGCAAATAAAAAGAGCACGTTAAGGACCTATCTTACATCAAAATAAAAGGAACACGTTATCGTTAACGTCAAAGAGTAACTTTACTTTTCCGTTAGTTTTTTCTTCATGAATTAACACGTTTTATTATTTTGACGTTACAGGTAGTCAGAAGCGACATATTTCAAGAAATATTATGTAGATACAGAAACTGAGCACAATTAACTTATCTTTTTTACCGTTCTATCTAAATACTTTCAAGGAAAAACGCAAAGAAAAACGCGGAAACGAAAATAAATTATATTACCTGGCGCCTCTGGAAAAGCAAAAACTATTTAATTGAATTTTTTGAAGTCTATGGAAGAATATGTAACGAGTAACATAAAAGCATTACTCGCTACTTGAGATACGTAACGTACATAATCCGTTACTGTCTTGAAAAACGTAAAAAGGACGTTACTACGTTAACGATAAAAGTAACCCGTTACCGGTAACCTCGCTACTTGTAACGTCTTATCCCCAACGACTGACTATTAGTCACGCCAAACACCCGTCTTCAAGCACGGGCACCGTATCTCGCACAAGCAAGACGTCAGTGTTTGCGTGTGGCGGTCTGGCGACGAGCGCAACGTAGTGTGACTGGTGTAGCTACAAAAAGAAGGCACTCAAAATGGCAAAAGAAAAGAGTTGCGAGGGCTAGTATACAAAGACGCCAACATTCAAGCGCAAGACAGTCACAGACAACAGTAAACATACGCAACACCTTTTCCTAACATATGCAAGCAGAATAACACACCAACAACCGCGACAGCGCAGCGACACCTCTATCACTCGCTCCTCTACAAAAGATTTCTTCACCTGATCGGACAGTTCCCCTCTTCTACAACCCGTCTCACTACCACCTCTCAGAAAGGCCAGCAGCCGACTAAGTCGTAATCTCTAGCTGTAATACCATTAATTTATTAAAGACCTGTCGAGCAACAAATAGATACGGCGGTCTTATTTTTTTTAAAAATTTAGTTGGACAGTTACTGCCACATTAGCCGCATGAACCCGTAGAGATTGAGCAATTATTATTCCAACTTAATATTCTTTTTTTTTTTTTACTGTGA